GCATAATATACTGGAGTTCAATTTTTTTACAGGTGAACTTCCAGCATAATATACCGGAGTTCCAGCATAATATACTGATCTAGCATAATATGCTGGAAGTTCATACACAGGTGCTCCAATCTCCAGTATATTATGCTGGAAGTTCATACATAGGTGCACCAATCTCCGGTATATTATGCTGGAACTTTCCGTGTTACAACAAAATAGTGGCTATTTTTCAATGACTTTACAAACACTGACTATTTTTCAATTACCAGTCCGAAAACTGGCTAGCTCGTGCTATTTTTACAGAGATAAAGGATTTAACCAGATATGACACTAGGTAGCCATTCTAGAGGGCTTCTATTTAGAAATTAGCCATTGTGTCCTGAATTTTAGTTTTTCAGTTTAATTTTTCAGGACACAAAATCCTAGAGTTAAGATTTTTAGTTCAAATTTTCTGAACAAAATAAGTACTGGCTAATCCCTAAATATCCCCAAGGATTTAATGGAAAAAATTTAATGGGGTGATCTGTTTTCGCCCTGCTATTTAAGTTATATTCACTTTTTTCAAACTATTTAACTTATAGCCAGTATTGGTAAATCTCAAACAAAAGCCTGGCTCCTCCTCCTCCTCATACTTCTCCTCCTCCCTCCTTAGTTGCTGCAAAAACTAAACACTTTTGGTTTGTTAAGGCAAAATATTGAAGAAGATAAGGCAGCTTTTGTTGGGAATAACATTAGTGAAGAAGAGATTAATTGTTTATCCCCTTTTTAACCAACTTTAGATTTGAGCTGTACCAACTTTAGATATTTGATCTTGAAGTTAGGTTTGATAGTTCAAACTTTAAGCATATATATCTGAAGTTGGGAACTGAAGCTTAACTTCATGTCTGAAATTCGAACTGCACAACCAATATGCCAACTTCAAACATATAGATCTGCGAGTTTGAAGGTACTTTTGAAGTGACTAAACTTGCAAAAATTTAATATTCAAACCTTTATGAGAAAATTTTCTTGAATACTCATAAACAAGAAATTAAATTACAAAAGCTAAATTGCAACTTTCTACCTATTATTCTTGAAAGGAGTAATCTTGATAATCAAACCAGGGAAAACATCATCAGGATCATGAATATGAGGATTTTCTTCAACAATAAAAGGATCTCCACATTTTTCACTAATTGTTTGCAAAGTTTCCCCTTCTCTTACCACATAAATTTCATCACATGGCATTTTCTCCCTAACCATCTTCTGCTGTTGCATTTGAACTATGAATTCACTCTCATTGTATTGATCAAACCAGCTCAATACCAACATTATTGCTAAGAACAAGCCACAATACCATGAAACTTTCTCGGCTAACGCTATCGACGAATTAAATTGATACATGGCTAGCTATCTGCACCCCACTTGTGAAAATTCACTGGATTTGTTGTTATTGTTGCCAGCTAACTGCAAGATTAATATTTTTTTTACGGAGATGTTTCTTTAGGGTATTTATAGGAATTTGTAAGAGGATTAGGAGGGGAATTGCTTTTAGTTGTAGTTCGAGTGGTTATATTGAAAGAAGGGAAGTTGCAAGGGTTACTTCAAGGGGGAGTTGATAGGTAACTATCAAAGGAAAGAAATTGAAATGAACTAAGATTAGAGGGAAAGTTTGTTCAACTGCTTTTTTCAATATGAGCTACAATTTCAAGTCCTTATCAAAATTAAACCAAATAAAGCTAAAACAAACAACAAAATACTATAGGTTTGATTTGTCTCTTTCTTATTTTTCCATTTCTTCTTTTTTCTTTACTTTTATTCAAGAAACAAGTGAAAGAGTGCTATCACTAATGTAGGAGAAAAATTTGAGCTCCTTAGAATTAAGGTAGTGTGAAATTTGAGTATATTCATGATAATAACTACGTAGCTAACAATTGATCATGCCCAAGAATACCACTTAGGACAACTGTGGGATGGATGAAATCTTCCACCCTTAATTATATGTCTCAGGTTCGAGTTCGGGGATGAATTTTTTATTAGTAGGAAGAACTTTTCCCTATAATCGGCCATGCGCAGTGAGAATTCAGATTAATCGAAACCTCCATTCACCGTTGTGTGGAACCAAACACACACACAAAAAAGAAAAAAAGAACTCATCCACGAATAAAAAGTGAGCATACAAGAACTCAAGAAGTGACAAATACATATGAATAAAATATGTATATTATATTTATAGAATACAAATATATTCAACAAATAAATATTTTTTCAGCTCTTATGTTTTGGGATCTTTACACAAATAGCCGACCATATTCATCGTTTATCTTTTCTAGCCATATATATAGTTTATATATTGATTATATATAATTATACACATATAATATACAAATTATGCATATATTATACCTCTACAGACTATTTTTAGTTTAAGCGGTTGGGTGGACGGTTATTTGGTTAATTCTTCTTATTTTTTGGAACGAGTAAAAATATACGTTTCTCAATAATTTATTGTTGCGTGGAAGTTTTAGTTATTAAAAATTGGTAGAGTAATATGCAACTCTATCCTGAAATTTTGCTTATTAAATGGAAAACAAAATTTAAGTTTGCACGTAAATAATCCCAATCCCGACGGAGGTGAACATGGAAAATAAAAAAGGTAACTTGTATACACCAATAGGTCTTCCCTTTTGTTTAATATTTACTTTTCCAAATTCAATGAAAATTTCATACTTTCACTAAAACTTTTACTGTTTCTTAACCCCAAAAAAAAATTATAAAAAACAATCTCTAACATATTTGCATTTAATTGTGATCCAAAATTTATTTACATTTGCTAATTATGAAAAGATTATCCGAAGTTCTGCTTCCTTCTTTCCACCAAAAGGAAGGAGAAAAGGAAAAAATAAATAAAAGAAATTTTACTGGATAATGAGGGCTTTTAATTAATTTGTCTGATGGAATAAAATAACAAAATACGTTTGTTTCTTTAAAGCTACTTTCAGATACAATTATACCAACATTTAGATTTGTCACACTCAACATGCATGTTTAAGCTAATTGTTGTGAATACTTATAAAATACGAAAACCTTTCGGTAATTAATAATATTGTTAGTGTCATTTGGTATGATGGAAAATCAAAAATAATTCTGGGATAAAATTTTTGTACCGTCTTATCTTTTGTTTGATTATTATAAAATAATATCGGAATAACTTATACCTGCCAAAGGGTGGAACAGTTATTCCGGAATAAGTTATCCCAGAGTAAAACAGTTAAGTTGACAAAATCAGAATTAATACAACACATTAAACAGTCAATAATAATATCAGAATAACTAATCCCCACCATAATTAGTCCCAATATAACTAATCCAACCTAACTTGTCTTCAAACCAAACGGACCCTTAGTATATTATAACTTATTAGCCTCGACTCTTCTTTGTTAATCATATAAAAAAGGATTAAATGTGTATAACTGAATAATTTTTTTAGGGGCTAAATTGACTTGAGCCTTCGTTCTTGGATTTCCATTATTTAGTATCTGAATAGCATCAAATCAATCACTTTCATTTGCTTTAGGACTCATTCGGTTTTACGTAGCATAAACATGAATTACTCAAGAGAGATGACCTAGGTACATCATTTAAAGTATACCGATGTAATAAATAAATAAATGAATAAGCAATCCAGCTCACAAAGCATCCCGTATTCACACAGAATCTGGGGAAAGATCCCTAAGGTGTGTGATGTAGACAGCCTACCATATGCAAGCATTAGTGGATGTTTCAACAGTTCAAACTCGTGACCTATAAGTCATAAAGAAACAACTTTACCGTTGCTGCAAGCTTCCCCTTCAAGTAGGCAGCCCGATGCACAAAGCATCTCGTATTCACGCAGGATCTGGAGAAAGATCGCACCCTAAGGGGTGTGATGTAAACAGCCTACCATATGCAAGCATTAGTGGATGTTTCAACAGTTCAAACTCGTGACCTATAAGTCATAAAGAAACAACTTTACCGTTGCTGCAAGCTTCCCCTTCAAGTAGGCAGCCCGATGCACAAAGCATCTCGTATTCACGCAGGATCTGGAGAAAGATCGCACCCTAAGGGGTGTGATGTAAACAGCCTACCATATGCAAGCATTAGTGGATGTTTCAACAGTTCAAACTCGTGACCTATAAGTCATAAAGAAACAACTTTACCGTTGCTGCAAGCTTCCCCTTCAAGTAGGCAGCCCGATGCACAAAGCATCTCGTATTCACGCAGGATCTGGAGAAAGATCGCACCCTAAGGGGTGTGATGTAAACAGCCTACCATATGCAAGCATTATTGGCTGCTTCAACAGCTCAAACTCGTGACCTATAAGTCATAAAGAAACAACTTTACCGTTGCTGCAAGCTTCCCCTTCAAGTAGGCAGCCCGATGCACAAAGCATCTCGTATTCACGCAGGATCTGGAGAAAGATCGCACCCTAAGGAGTGTGATGTAGACAACCTACCATATGCAAGCATTATTGACTGCTTCAACAGCTCAAACTCGTGACCTATAAGTCATAAAGAAACAACTTTACCGTTGCTACAAGCTTCCCCTTCAAGTAGGCAGCCCGATGCACAAAGCATCTCGTATTCACGCAGGATCTGGAGAAAGATCGCACCCTGAGGGGTGTGATGTAGACAGCCTACCATATGCAAGCATTATTGACTGCTTCAACAGCTCAAACTCGTGACCTATAAGTCATAAAGAAACAACTTTACCGTTGCTACAAGCTTCCCCTTCAAGTAGGCAGCCCGATGCACAAAGCATCTCGTATTCACGCAGGATTTGGGGAAAGATCGCACCCTAAGGGGTGTGACGTAGACATCCTACCTTATGCAAGCATTAGTGGCTGCTTCAACGGCTCAAACTCGTAACTTATAAGTATACCGATGTATTTTATGAAATCAAGCTCGCGACTTATAAGTATACCGATGTATTTTATGAAAAACGACACCTTTGGATAGTGAACAACAGTTGTAAGGGAACCCCCACAAATCTTAAAAACAGTATAAAGACATGACTATTTACTATGAATTAGCCATTGCACCAATAAGTCTGAGGCGAAAATATAGTAATACAGACCTGAAAAGAATGACGAAAATGCATTGCCCACCCTCCATTTATAAGCCCTTTACATTTCCCAGAATTGGGATTTATTTAGTTTCAAGGGAGGGAGGGAAAGAAGAGTAAAAACAATTGCTGTAATGGAAGTTGTTAGAAAACGCGTTCCTCGATTTCCAGAGTAAGATTGATGCGAGGCAGAGACCGAGGGATCCAGTGGTATTCAAGATTTCATTAGCATTTTCTTTATGTAATTCAGAACTTCATCCACATCAACTGTCCATGCAACTGAAACCGGGGAATAATCCGTCCAAGGGTTGCTCGTATTCCACCTAATATAACGATTTGTTAGTTTTAATCCATAGAATGGAGCCACAGGCTAAGATTTGCGAAGAGAAAAAGAGATTTTTACACTATACAACCGCCCATGATTTGAAGGTTATGGGTTCTGATCTTGTCATCGAACCCTAGCTCGTTTTAGTTACTGGGTTCTCCGTTAAATATTTTTATATATTTAATGGATTTTCTAATACAAATACAAGATTTAAGTAAAAGCTACTAGATTCATCCGAACCTGTAGCTACTATATATTACCTCCGCCCCTAGGTATAATTTATGTCTATTGGCTAGCAAAAGAAAATAGTTGCCCAAAGAAAACTCAGTTCAAATACTTACTTCTTTAGCCCTTGGTCCAACAAGGTATGTCCGACGCAAATGCCCTGTGTCTCAACCCTCACGACACCTTTCTTGAAGGTGAAGAGTTCAGGTCGAACTAGTGCCACAAAACTAACAGGATCATGTAGGAAAATTCCTGAAAAGAGGTCGAGCGAATAAATATCAGTAAAGTGGTTTAAGAAGCAATGTAGGTCATCCACAAACGATATAAGAACAGAAGTTATTACCATAGACGCCGTCTGATTTCACATGCCAATCACGGTAAAATTTGCACATGTTGCCCAAAATTTTAGCATGTTTTCCTTCAGATTGCCTTAGTTCTTCAAGATCAGCATCTAAAACCAGAAGCATATACTATTTATTGAGAAGCGAACAATATTGTCATATAATTAAAGGTGCAAAAGTAGTAGTCTTCGACATATTTGAGCAGTGAACAACCTACCTGTCAATTTGACTTGTGTTGTAATGTTGATGCCTACAATATCAATATTTGCCCCCGAAGTAAATACAATATCTGCTGCCTCTGGATCCCCATATATCTGCGCATCAGAATAACTATGCAAATGAGATAATAATAATAACAAATTGAAGATTGAATACTACAAAGATTGATTTTTCAGCTTCCCATGATGAATTTGTGAACATGCGAAAAGCGTTCATCTTTTAAACTTGACAAAAATTGACAGGAAAGAAGAGACACTGACAACATATGAAATGCTAATACACAACACGAACATTTTATAGTATTTCCGCAAAGATAATGCCAAAAGAGACCCATATTGCACTCAAATTACAAGGACAACGTGTCTATAGCACTATACTAAGGCAGTGAGCTTAAGAAAAAGTCTTTTATGACAAGCTATTAGAGTTCAAATAACCAGATGCGGAGCCAAGATTTCAACTTTATGGGTTATGCATTATAGAACGACGACTTCAAGTAACAATAACTGAGGTTTCTTTGTATGACGTCAAGTACTAATAACCGTTTATTACTTAACACAAATAAACTATTTGAGCAAAAGCTACTTGATTCGGCCGAACCCCTACTCGGGCTTCGAGCTCCACCCTTACAACTAACTATTAAACATTTCCATACTGTTGTGCATTATGGATATCAAAGTAAGAAGTTTATGCACAGACATTATGGGGTCAAACAACTATTCAAACATGCTTCTACATTGTAAAACAGTGTGAATATTATAGTATTTAAAAACCAATGGGAAAAAATCACCCACATTTGCTTCCGCAGCAGGATTAACATTTCCTAAAGCAAAGAAGGAACCACCGAGTACGACCACTCTCTTCACCTTGCTTGCAAAGGTCGAGTCCCTCTTGACAGCCTAACCAACAGATAACGATGATTTTTTTTGTAAATGCAAGGCAAAATCACAAACTTGAAAATTGAAAGTTTTTGAGATACAACATACCAACGCCAAATTTGTCAATGGTCCTAGTGCAAGTATAGACACTTCACCAGGATATTCAGAAACTTTTTCCACTAAGAATTCAGATGCAGAATTGTCATTTTTCTTAGAATTTGGACAAGGTAAGAATAAGTTGCCTAATCCATCTGAACCATGAACAAAGTCTGCAACCCGTGGTTCCCCTCTCTACAGCAAAAATTAAGATCAAAGTTAGGTTACAATACGTTGAGAAGCTACAGTGGAGAAAGGAAGTTAAGCATAAACTAAAAAGAATTTTGAGTAACAAATTGTTACTATTAGGAATCAAAAGTAAAAACAAATTACCTTCAGAGGTTCAGGGCTGCCCTCGGCGACGGGAACATCCGGATATCCTGCAGTTTCACACTATCCTTTTGCAAATTAAATTAAAGAAGTAATTGATCAAGAACTTGATACAAAAACATCTAATAGACGGAATTGTAAACACAATAAAAGGAAAGAAATTTACAAGAAAGGTAGTACTAGATAAATAAATATACAAAAAAAAAAAGACATACCAAAAGTAATGCATTACGTGTAGCATCTTTTGTAGTAACATTACCAAAGATTGTAGTCAAGCCTATGATCTCAACTTCCGGTGTCTGAAATGCCATTAGTATTGCCATACTGTCATCTAAATATCAACAAAAGCTAAAATTAGCTCCAACATGACAAATGGGAACCACACGGAATATGAAACTCATTATAAAACACAACTCAGCCTGTTAAAAAATTGTTATGAGAGAGAGAGATCTTTCATTTTCATTCACGGGCACAATTTATCCCCATACTTGATACAACGGCGGGGCTAGGAATTTTAGTAAGGGGGATAAAAATATAAAAAAGTAAACATCTACTATATTAGAACAAAAATTTTTGACCTAGTATATATAGTGTAACTTTCAGGCGACCCCTGGCTCCGCCCATTATTTGAAAGAATAGAAAAGGAGAGAGTTTTTTGAAAACATTTCAGGCATAACTAAGTATTATATTGTCTTTTTCTTGGTTGATGAGTCACTAAGTATTATATTACTAAGAGCACACCGGTTTTCTACTTGAATGAAGCACAACTAAGCCAAGGTGTGTTGCTCACCTCAATAAGAAAAGCTTCTCATCACAAGATGTGCTCTTTAAAACTTCCTCTTTCATTAAGAAAATTGTTTTCCCGAAGAAATGATAAACAGAATTAAAGAAATCAAAAATGTCAGCTTGTGAAATTTGTCAGAAAGGTAATATAATTTCTTAGGTGCCTATGTGACAGCAATAACGTCGTCCCCCCCCCCCCTATATTGAAAGTCTATGTTGTGCGGATTCTCCAAAATGATGCCGCACCCATGTCGGATCCTCTAAAAATGCATTACTTTTGGCGGATCCAACATGCACCCGACAACATTTTCGGAGAGTCCGAGCAACATAATTGAAAGTAACACACATTCCTTGCCTAAAAGAAGTCTCAGAAAATGAAGGATTAGAAAAGATCATAGATAAAGTTAATTGCCTGCTTTCATAAATAAAAGTACAGCTAATTTAGGATGACAAATATAAGCTTTATCTCCAGATACTCTTCACTCAAACAAACTGAAAGAATCCCAAAATTCACAAATTCCAGAAAGAAAGAGATCATCTTCCATCTGAATATTCTAATGAAAAAGCTGGAAATATAAAGTGACACAATAAAGTAACTAGGATTCTTTTTCCATATTTGAATCTGCCCTTCCTTTAGCACTTTTAACAAAATTTCCCCAAAAGTCATCTATTTGTCAAAGAAAATCAAAACCCAATCACAATCAAATAAAATTTAGCTGAAATTTTTCTAAAAATCCCAACTTTAAATTTATTCATGAAGAAAAAAATAAGCAACACCCAAATTCATGAAAGTGAAAAAAATGCTGAAATTTGCTAAAGTTGCCACCTTTAAACAATAGGGTAGAAAATTTTACCAGAAATTCATCTATTTGTCTAAGAAAATCAAAACCCAATCAAAGAAAATTTTAGCTGGAAAATTACTGAAAACCCCAACCTTAAACTCATTCATGAACAAAAAAATTAGCAAAACCCAAATTCAAGAAACTAAAAAAAAATGCTAAAATTTGCTAAGAATTTCAACCTTCATTCATTCATAAAAAAAACACCCAAATTCAAGAAACTGAAAAATAAATGCTGAAATTAGCTAAAGTTCAGAACTTTAAACAAAAGGGTAGAAATTTATTTACCAATGCCAGGATCAGTATCAATGATGATCTTTTCACGTTGCTTAGCAAAAGAATAATTGTTGGTAGTCACAAATCCATCAACCAAATCACCATCACAATTTGACATCTTCTTGAAATTTTCAATAATTCAAAAGGGAAAATTTTGGGAGCAAAAAAAAGGGAATTTTTGGGACCTAAGAAAGACAATGAACTTACAAATATAATAACAATAACAAATTAGAATAAAAAATGTGGGGGATTAAGTGAAAAGGATAGAGTTTTGGTGGAGTCAGCTCTGACGATGAGCTGAATTTTCTCAACTCTGCTCCTTTTTCTTGTTCCTGTTTTCCAACTATTCTTTCTCTTCTTTTGGTGTGAAAATTTGTATTTAATAAGGTGTGGGTACTATGTGTGTGTGTATTTATGGGTTTCGGAATGAATAATGGATAAGATATGTGGCTTTAGTCTAAGTGGTAAATATGCGTATCCTAATTTGATTCGCTTTGTTATGAACGGATCTCTTGCTTTCCCTTGCACAATATTTTACCTTTTGCATTTTCCAAATCCAATCAAAATTGAAACAAATTAATAAGATTTCACTATTAGCCAACAAAGGTTGGCTGAGTTGGTTGAATAAGTGATTTCTTACCTTTGGAGATTTGGAATCGATTTTCTTCGCTAGTATGGGGCGAATCTACCTTAGTCCAAGATATGTCACGTCCATTGATTCGTCGAAAATCTTTACTAATTATTTGTATATAATTCAAATGAAGAAATAAGAAAATAATAAAAAGAATAATGTGACACCATTTGTCATGTAGTTTAATTGGTTAGAGGCTGGAGAATTATATGTGAGGTCGTGAGTTCGAACCTCCTTAGACTTATTTTTTGTTTTAATACTTTTATGCCTCATCTAAAAAAGTAAAAACAATGCGTGGCCAATGAGATTTGAACCGCTAACGTTGCTGCTTCCTTTGAAAATTTTATTTTTTTTGGTTGGTTGTGTTTTAAAATATGATATTATATTTATTTATTTATTTATTTATTCACGTCTAATGGTGACATCGCTTACAAAAATCCTTGCATACACCACTGTTCACTCGCAACCTTCGCAGTCAAAGCTCGTCGTACCGAGTTTGCCTAGAGCGATTTATATCTCTAGTTTGTGAGCTATTGCATAAACAGGTTACCCAATGTCTACCCCAAAGAAAAAAAAAAGATTTCACAATTAGTGGTGGACTAAGAATTTTATTAAAGGATTAAAAATATAAAAAATAAAACACATTATGAAGTCAAAAATTTCAGTCGCCTTCTCGAATTCTGGATCCCGCTTTCAACTTCGTCAATCCTCATAAATTTTCTTATCCTGTCGAAGGTTTATAAATTATGTTCCCCAATAGATTGAACCTTGTTGAACTGAATCGTAAGAATACAATATATATATATATACATAAAAAAAACTGACCTATTTATACAATGTAAATTTTTCAATAAACGGGTGTTAGTTGACTCCCCTCACATAAGGGTATCGCATAGGGCTGTGCATAATTTGATAAATACAAAATTATCGTACCGAAATCAAAAATTTTGGTATTTGGTATTCGATATTTTGGTATTCGGTATGGTATTTGGTTTAAGTTTTTTAAAAAAAAGGTATTTGGTATTTTAAAATGAAATACCGAAATATCGATACCGTACCGAAATATATATTATATTACACAATACACATATTATTAATTATAACGCAAATATAAAAAATCTAAAGTTTTACTTTCTTTTATTCTCTAAGTTCACCAATTAACTCTAAGCAAATAACAAGACGTTTCTAATGATCAAATTTATTCTTTTATGTACGGTTTTCTCCCTAGGTTGATATTTGTTGGTTATGGACAAAACTTTTGACAACAAATATTTTAAATTTTGTACTTTTGAGTACTTTAATTAAGAATATTACAGTCTATGGCTCTATGCACTAGTTAGTATTCAAACCGAATAAACCGAACTTATCGAACCGAATAAACCGAAACCGAAAGGAGAAAAACCGAACCATACCAAATTTAATTAGGTACGGTATTGGTATAGCATTTTAAGAAACCGAATATCAAAAATACCGAAACGAAATGTTTAAATACCGTACCGTATCGATCGACGAACAGCCCTAGTACCGCCTCTATTTACTATCACCTCTAATTCCTTGGTTGAATTAAGAGCATGTTTGGCCAAACTTTCATAATTTGCTTATTTTGAAATGTATTTTTTTTTTTTGTCAAATGGAATTTCACAACAAATACTTTTGGATAGTGTCAGTTTATGTTTGGTCAAATTGTTTAGATAATATTTTCATTAGTATTATTGAAACAATTTACTTATGACCAATCTTGGGTATATATAATTTTTAGTTTTTGGTATAGTTTAGTAAATATAATTTTATTTTAATTTTTGTCGGGGATAAAAGTTTAAAACAACTTCTGCTTCCGCATCTAATGAAAAATTACTTTTTTTAGTTTAGTATTTTTTATTTTTTAGTTTAAAAATAGTTTAGTATTTTAGACTTTTTTTAATAAAAAATTATGTATCAAGTATTATAGTTTCCTCACCTTCTCCCTAATTTGTTAACTGCTATACTAATTAAGATTTCTCTAGCTATATGAAAGAGATTAAAACTAGGGATAGTTTGTGATAAATTTGAGAGTGTTATAAAATAAAGACCGTAAAGTAAAGACAAGTATAGAGAGACACTGATATATTATTTAACTTCAAACTGATGTACATAGTGAACTGAAAACTCCTATATTTATAGAAGAAAGGAAACAGATGCGAGGCTTTTTCGGAAGCAGCTGCAATGCTTTTCAGGAAGCAGCTGCGAGACTTTTCTTGAGCTGCTTGTAAGCTGTCTGTATGAGTTGCTCGCAACCTGCCTGTTTAATAAGAAGTTGCTGCAAATCATTTCATTGAGTTCCTTGCAACCTGCCTGTATCGACTGCTTGTAGATAAACGTCAATAGAGTACTAAACGGATAATCTTCTTCAGGAAGATTGTCTATAGCGGAATAATAAATGGGCATTCACAATATAATATTTTCATAACGCTCCCCCTTGGATGTTCATTTAAAGATAATGTGCGTCGTTAAAACCTTACTAGGAAAAACCCAGCGAGAAAATTTCTAGTGAAGGAAAAAGAGTACACATATTTTAGTAATACATATTTCTAGCTTCCTCATTAAAACCCTTACAAGAAAAAAATCGTGGAAAAAATTTTAGTAAGGGGAAAAGAGTACATCGCGTATATCACTCCCCATGATGAAAACCGTGTTTCAAATATTTGAGTCTGCGCATTCCAATCTTGTATACCATCTTCTCAAAAGTTGAAGTTGGCAAAGATTTAGTGAACAAATCTGTCGGATTGTCACTTAAACGGATTTGTTGCACATCAATGTCACCATTTTTCTGAAGATCATGCGTGTAGAATAATTTTGGTGAAATGTGCTTTGTTCTATCTCCTTTTATAAATCCTCCCGTCAATTGGGTTATGCATGCATCATTGTCTTCGTATAAAATTATGGGTCTTTTCTCACATTCCAAAATATATTTTTCTCGAATAAAATGAATTATTGATCTCAACCATACGCATTTCCTACTTGCTTCATGAATAGCTATTATCTCAGCATGATTTGAGGAAGTAGCAACACTAGATTATTTTGTGGAGCGCCATGATATGACAGTACCTCCACATGTAAACACGTACCCGGTTTGAGATCGAGCTTTATGGGGATCAGATAATTAACCTGCATCTGCATAACCAACAAGATCTGCACTATCTTTGTTAGCATAAAACAAACTCATATCAAGAGCTCCCTTTAAATATCGCAATATATGCTTAATCTTGTTCCAATTTCTCTGTGCAGGAAAAGAGTTATATCTTGCTAGTAAATTAACAGAAAATATTATGTCAGGCATTGTAGCATTACCAAGAAACATAAGTGCACCAATTGCACTAAGATAAGGTATTTCGGGACCAAGGAGTTCCTCATCCTCTTTTGGAGATCGGAACGGATCTTTATTCACTTCAAGTGATCAAACAACAATTGGTGTACTCAATGGGTGCGCTTTGTCCATGTAAAAGCATTTTAAGACCCTTTCTGTATAAGAAGATGGATGGATAAAGATCCTGTCTGCTAAATGTTCAATTTGCAGACCAAGACAAAGTTTTGTCTTTCCAAGATCTTTCATCTCAAATTCCTTTTTAAGATATTCAATTGCCTTTTGGAGCTTTTCTAGAGTTCCAACAAGACTTATGTCATCAACATAAACAACAAGTATAACAAATTCTGAAGCCATTTTATTTATAAAAATACATGGACAAATAACATTATTTATGTAACCCTCTTTCAGCAAATATGCACTGAGGCGATTATACCACATGCGCCCAGATTGTCTTAAACCGTACAAAGATCTTTGTAATCTGATTGAATACATTTTCCGAGATTTTGAATATGCTTCAGGTATTTTAAATCCTTCAGGGATTTTATGTAAATTTCATTATCAAGTGACACGTACAGATAAGTTGTAACCACATCCATCATATGTATTTCAAGCCTTTCACGTAAGGCTAAACTGATGAGATATCGAAATGTTATGGCATCCATAACGGGTGAATATGTTTCTTCATAATCGACTCCAGGTCGTTGTGAGAATCTTTGTGCGACAAGGCGAGCTTTGTATCTTTCAACTTCATTTTTGTCATTCCTTTTTCGCAAAAAAATCCATTTCTGACCAACTGATTTTATACCAGTAGGTGTTTAGACTATTGGTCCAAAGACCTCTCTTTTAGCAAGTGACTTCAATTCTGATTGAATTGACTCTTGCCATTTTAGCCAATCAGATCTTTATTGACATTCTTCGACAGATCGGGGTCCAAGATTCTCACTATCTTGCATAATGTTAAGTGCAACATTATATGCAAAAATATTATCCACCACTTTTTCAGATCGATTTAAATTAATCATATCACCAGTAGAACTTATTAAAATTTCTTCACTTACTTGAGTCTCGGGTTCATTGATTTCTTCAGGAATCTTAGAACTAATCAGATCTTGGGTCTCTTCAGGAGATCCCTTCATAGTATCATTTTGATCATTTGTCGATTTTTCGTTTCTAGGATTTCGATCCTTAGAACCCAAAGGCCTACCACGCTTCAGACGTGCTTTAGGTTCACTAGCTCTCATGCTAGTAGATAGTCATGTTGGGTCATCAATTCGGATAGGTACATTCTCTGCAGGGATATGTGACTTAGTTATCCTTTTCAAATCAGTAAATACGCCTGGCATTTGATTTGTTATATTTTGTAAATGAATTATCTTCTGGACCTCCTGATTACATATAGGGGTATATGGATCAAAATGAGACAATGA